CTGGGGTCTAGAGGTTGGCATTTTTAAAAAGGTGCTCCAGTCCATTCTAATCTGCAGGCAAAGTTTTGGGTCATTGCCTTATGGTAGGCTGCCTCTCAGTAAACATGTTTCTCAGAATTTTAGGAGCCATCATTATAAATATGAGTTTGAGGAGGAACGGGTACTTGGAGTGAGGCCATTCTTGCCATTTTTCAGTCCTTAGGCAAGAACAAATCAGTTCTCTTGGGAATAACCTAGTCAATCAGAAATACTACCTGAGCCTTTTGCCCAAACGTAAGGGAACATGAAATGCCAACAGCAGCAATACCTAGGGGACATTTCATAGGGTAACACAGAAAGGAAGTCTAACACGAATAGCTTTTCCACATAACAAGGGAGAGTTTTCCAGGTAGCACACATCCTTCGAGTTGTGTTCATGGTGCCAAGAGTCAGTGTGGCCTTGTTAAGATCTGCGTTTAAGATCCACCACTGCAGAGGATTACAGACAGAAAATGTAATCTAGGAAGACGTTGTGTGCATTTTGCAAGTCCCACCCTAAAAAGGGTAACAAATTCCTTTATTGAGATGAACAGAAAGAGCTTATGAGAGTAATTGTTATCGCTTCGATGAGACAATCTTGATACTGTTTCAGGATCATTTCCCTAAGCTACATGTGCCTGAGGTTCCTCTGATTCTTTGATGGGAAGAATTAGAATTAATACCAGAAATGTACAGTCATGATGCTGACCATTAGTTGTAGTTTGATACATATTTGTTTACATATTTCATACCTAAATTACTTTAATGCTTTCCATTTCATAGGTTCAGTCATTTCCTGTCATTATGTTATTAGTTAAAGGAATCCCTCCAGGTTTGTAAAGATGGATATTTAAGAAGGGTAAGCCTAGCTGAGTTTGTACGTGTCCATGTTCTCCAACCCTTGATGGGAAAACTAGGCAAGCAGTGCCGTTTTACAAAGTATAGGAGGAATACTTTAGATTCTTTTGGGGAGAGCCCCTAAAATAAGTGTGTCCTGTTGTGCAGCCTTTTATAGTGGAAAAACTGGTGTGTTAAAAGTCTGTTATTAAAATACAGTAAAATTAACTGGCCAGACATGCAAATTGGTCCTAGAAAAGTGAAAGAAGAAAATCCTTTGGAGTCATTTCAACAGCATAATGGAGAGGTTTAAAGCATGGACACTGGAGGTAGGCTTCTTGGATTTAAATGCCAGTTCTGCCACTAATTCCTGTATGACACTGGGCAAGTCACTTACCTTCTCTCTGCTCCGTTGTCTTGCCAATGGTTTCAGCCCCAGGCAAGTTCGCTATGGATTCAATGTGACCAAAGAAATTGACAGCAAAACGTTCTTGGTGTGAAGGGGTTATACCCAACTTTATTTCCAGGTGGCAGGTCAGTCACTAAAATCCCATTCACTCAGAGCGAGTCTGCATGCAGCAAGCTGGTCTCTGCCTCTGGGCCCATCTGTCTGCACAGGTGTCCTGCACAGCCATTCTCTGTGCCTCTGTCCTCAGCGCTGCCACCACTCCAGCCTCTCCTTTGCTCTCCTGCAGCCTTGCAGCTGTGCCACCATGTCGTGCCCAGAGCACTGGGTGGAGTTCTTTATATAGAGTCAGCAGCCATGTATTGTCCACAGGTATACAGTGAGCTAGCCAACCAGGGCCAGGTGAGAATCCTGGCCTCAGGAACTCTCATCTTATCCACACCCATATTCCTCTGTACTGACATGGAGATGACAACAGCATTGACCATCAGAATCTTACTATGAGGAGTACATCTGTTAATATTTGTAAAACATGTAGAATGGTGCCAGGCACATAATAAATATTACATATGTGGTGTTAAAACCAACGAGGTCCCCCAGTATTTCTCAAATTTCGCTGAATATATGTATCGCATGGGGATTTTGTAGAAAGGCAGGCTCTGTTTCAGTAGGTTTGGAGTCGGGCCCGAGAGTCCCTGTTTCTAACAAGCTCCCAGGTAATGCCGAGGCGGCTGAGTCCCTGCCACACTCGGTAGTCGCAGTCGCGGTCTCCGTTCTTCAGTTGGATGGGGGAGGAGGATTCAGGCGTGACTCCTCTGCTCAGCAGCCAAGGGCTGTGAGGGCTTCAGCCTCCCAACTCTCTCCAGGACCCGGGCGCTTCCAGTCACCAGTGGCATTCAGTGTGCTGGCTTCCCCCTGAGGGCTGGGGAATCCGATCGCACAGGGCAGCATCTAGATCAGTCTACCTTTCCCACTGTGAATATGGACCTCCCCAGTGTAAGTTTCCTTGGGAGTTACTATACAAAAATGGTTTGATTCACCTCTGGCTTGAGCTGCCTCTGCAAGTACTCTTTTTGTGATTCTGCTTTGATCATTTCTAAGCCTAAGAACAGGGCCTGGGGGAAAGATGAGACCACCGCTCTCTCCACTGAGAAACGTGGCTTACCCCCTCCACTCTCAAACTAAAATTCTGATTATTCATTTTTTGAGTGCATGTTCTACAATTAGCTTAAATTTACTGTCTACCAAGTGGATTGATGAACGTTTCTTTAATTGCTTCTTGGTATATTGCATATATTTAAGGCATCCAAAAAAGGTTTTAGGAAAACTAGAGTGAAAAGCATATAGAACGCTCAATTTGTTGAGATAAAGACTAAAGGCTCAGGGTGAGTCAGAGAATGATCTATGCTGCGGTTGTTTATTGGTTCATATTACACCTGCCATCTCAGCATTCAGGGAGGAGTATCTACTCTTGGCTACCTGGGTAATGAATGTGTCTACTTGGTAGGTAGTAGAGACAGATTTATGGCCTTATGGTTTGATGGGCTAACCAGATACTCAAGAATGTTGTTGCCAACTTACCAGAAAATTAGCAAATTTCTCCAAGTAAGCATGCTTAAGAAAGGGAAGGAGGAAGAATTACTTAAAGCAATCACAGATAACATTGAAAAATGAATCATTAGCAAAAACAAGATTCCATGGAAAACAAATATTTCACCATGCTTTGGTGCCCTTCATTGATGCCCACCTGTTGTAAGTCACTGCTGAATTGTGCCCTGATGTTTTCTCAGGTTCTTGTATATGGTTTTTTTCCATTTCTTCCCATTACTTAAAAAATGTTAGCTCCTTTTTAAAAACAGACATATCATAAATATACAACGAAAGGCACCGATTTTAAAGTACAGTTTAATGAGCTTTCACAACTGCACATGGCCATGCAACTCACATCTCTGCCAAGACAGAATGTTTCCTTTGCCCCCAAAACATTCCTCTTCCTCCTTCCAGTCTATCTTCCCCTGGCCCCTGGAAAACACCACTCTGATTTCTTTCAACAGAGATGAATTTTGCCCATTCTGGAGCTCCATGTAAATCAAATTGTGCGAGATGTATACTTTTGTGTTTGGCTTTTTTTTACAGCATAATGTATTTGATGTTCATTTGTATTGTTGCATCTATCAGTAATTCATTCCTATTTATTGCTGAGCAGCATTCTGTTGTATGATTGTAACTCATTTATCCATTCACTTGTTGAAGGCCATGTGGGTCATTTTTAGTTTACGGCTATTATGAATAAAGCTGATATGAATATTCTTGTGCAAGTCTTACTGTACACATATTTTCATTTCTCCTGGGTAAATACATTGAAGCGGAATTGCTGGATCATAGGGTAGGTGAATGTTTTATTTCATGGGAAACTCCCAGACAGATTTCCAAAGTGGCCATACTGTTTTGTGCTCCTGACATTAATATTTAAGACTTCTTGTTGCTCCACATACTGACCTGCGTTTGCTGTTGTCAGTCTTAAGCGTCAGCCATTGTAGTACATATAGAGTTGTATCTCATTTTTGTTTTAAATTGTATTTCCCTGATGACTAATGCGGTTGACCCCTTCCTCCAGGTGCTTACTGGCAGCCATTCACATGTATTCTTTTTTGAACTGCATGTTCAAGTCTTTTTTTTTATTAAAAAAATTGGGTTGTCTTTTAAAGATTGAGGTATGAGGAGTTCTTTATCTATTTTGGATCCAAAGGATTGTTACATATGTTTTGTGAATATTTTCACCTAGTCTGAATCTAACTTAGTCTTTTTCTTAATGATGTCTTTTCATAAAATTTTTTTTCAAAACTTTGATAGTCTAATGTGTCAAATTTTCCCCTCATGCATGATTAGTGCATTCTCATTCCTGTCTAAGTAGTCTGTGTCTACTTGAAGGTTGCAAAGATATTCTCCTGTGGTTTCATTTGGCAATTTTATTGTTTTAAGCATTTATATTGATATGATCCAAGTTGAATTAATCTTTGTGTATGATAGGAGGCATGAGTTGAAGTTCCTTTTTACCCCATACAAGTAGATTCTGTTCCAGTACTATTTATTGAAAAAACTCTCCTTTTTCCCATTGAATTGCTTAGGTTCCATAACCAAAAATCAGTTGGTTATATAAGTGTGGATCTTTTGGACTCTTCTCTTCTACTGATCTATATGTCTTTCATTACCAGTAACATAGTGTCTTGATTATCTTAAAATCTGGCAGTGTAAGAGTCCTTAGTATCTTACTCTTCAAGATTATTTGGCTTTTCTAGGTTCTCTGCATTTCCATTTAAAAATGATCTTATCAATTTCAACAAATAAAAACTGAGGCATTATAAAATTGAGGTTTAAATAATATACAGCTCTTAAGAGTATAGTTCAATGAGTTTTGACAAACATATATACCCAGTAAACCATGGTCTTTGTCAAGACATTTCAATTATCCCAGAATGCTTCATCGAGCGCCTTCCTGGTCATTCTGACCTCCCAGAAGTAAAAGTCCTGATTTCTATCACATAATGTTAGTTGTGCCAATTGTAGACTTCCTGAAAGTGCAACCAAGCAGTGTGTACTCTCGTGTGGATGCTTTTCTCTCCACATAGTACTTTTGCTTTCTCTGTCATTGGTTTGTTATTATTGCTGAGTATCATGCCACTGCATGAATACACCTCAGTGTGTTCATCCTCTTATCTCTTGATGGACACTAGGGGAGCTACCAGCTTTTGGCTGTTATGTATAAAGCTGCTGTGAATAAGTTGGTAAAAGACTTTTTGTGGATATGTGCTTTCGTTTTTCTTAGGTAAATATCTTAGAGTGGAATTGCTGGTTGCAGACTAAATGTAAGTTTAACTCTTTGAGAAACTGTCAGAACTCCTTCCAGAGCAACTATTTTACAGTCCCCCCAGCAATGTATAGGGGTTCTGGGTGTTCCATAGCTTCACAAAAACTTTGAGTTCATTTTTGCCATTTTATGGGTGTGTCATGATATCTCATAGTTTTAATTTGCTATTCCCTGGTGACTAGAGGTAATTAGTAAATTTTTATATGCATATGTATTTTGTGAAATGTCTGTTCAAATCTTTTGCCCATTATTTATTGGGTTATTATTTAGTTGTAGAAGTTATTTATGAATAGATATTATGTAATATATAAAAATAAGGTTAGATATAATTGTATACTGTACAATTTTATATTATATATTTACATATGACATGTATTTTATGTTTATATCTATTATATATATTAGATACATGTCCATTATCAGCTATTTCTTATGAATATCTTTTCCCAGTTTGTGGCCTGTTTATTCATTTCTTAATAGTCTTTTGATGAACTGAAGTCTCTTTTTAAAAGTCGTTTTTTGATAAAGTATGACTTTCCGATTTTATAGTTACTGATTTCTATATCCTATCTCAGAAGTCTTATCTACCCCAAGTTCACAAAATATTCTATTTTTTCCTAGGCATTTTATAGTGTTAGCTTTTATGTTTAAGTCTATGTTTTCTGTGACATTGATAAATTCACTACTTCAGTACTTAAGGAAAACTACAGTTTTTCTTTGTTTTCATATTATTTAGGATTTTCTATGTACACTATTATATGTCTGCAACTAAGGGCAGCTTTACTTCTTTAAGTCTGTTCTATATGTCTTTCATTTTTTATTATACTGCCTACAGTCTCTAGTACAATGTTGAATAGAAGTGGTGAGAGTGGACATCCCAGTCTTTTTCCTGGCTTAAGTGGAAAAGCATTAAATATAATGTTAGTTGTAAGTTCCTCATAGATAATGTTATTAGGTTTAAGGAGGTTTCCTTTGTTCCTAGTCAGTGAGGGTTTTTTTCCCTCTAAATCATGAATTGTCAAAAGCTTTTCAGCACCTGCTGAGGTTACATAGTCCCCCCTTACTCTATTAATGTGACAAATTTTATTGATAATTAAATGTCAACCCACTTTGCGTTCTTGTGACTTAGTCATGTGTTTTATAATAGATTATTGAATTTGATTTGCTAATATTGTGTTAAGGACTTTTTATGAGGCCTATTTTCTTGAATGATCTATGTTTATGACATTATTGGCCTGTGGTTTTCTTGGCTTGAGATGTCTTTATTTGGTTGTGGCATTAAGTTTATGGTAGCCTCATATGAAGAGGCTGAATTGTGTCCCCTTCCCTGGTTGTTTTGAAAAGTTTTGTCTAGGATTAGTATTATATTTTCCTTAAATCTCTGATAAAACTCACCAGGAAAATGATGTAGGCCTGCAGTTTTCTTTGTGGGAAGATATTTAATTACAAATTCACTTTCTTTAATGGATATGTGGCTATTTAGGTTTTCTACATCTTAAGTCACTATTGATAGATTGTGTGTTCCATGGAATTGGTGCATTTCACCTAAGTTTTCAGATTATGGATGTAAAGTTGTTAATGTTGTCTCCTTACTTTGATATATGTAGGATCCTAGAGACATTATTGATACTGATTCTTTGTGTTTTACTCTTTTTATTTGATTAGTCTAGCTGGAGTTTTATCAGTTTGACTAAACTTTTCAAAGAACTGCTGTCATTTTTTTCATGATTTTTGACTATTTCCTCTTTCATCATTTTCCACCCTTTATTATTTTCCTCCTGCATACTTTGAGTTTAATTCCCTCATTTTTAAATCTTTTAAAATTAAAGCTTAGGTAATTACATTTTTTTTTCTCTTCTCATATGAGCCTTCAGAGCTCTAAGTTTACTTCTAAGCACTACTTTAGCTGCATCCTACAAATTTTGGTATGTTGTGGGTTTTTTTCCTAATTGAAAATATTTTCATATTCCCTTCATAATTTCTCCTTTGATTTATGGATGATTTAGAAGTGTGTTGCTTAATTTCCAGTGTTTTTGGGTTTTCCTGAAATCTTGTTATTAATATTTCAATTCCATTTCATCAGAAAACAAACTGTTGGATTTGAATCCTTTTATATTTAAGATTTATTTTCTGGCCCAGAATATGGTATATGTCTTGATGAATATTCCATGTGGACTTGTATAGACTGTCAATTTAGATTGAGTTGATTATGGTGTTCACCTTTTGTACATTCTTCTTGATTAAAAAAAAATCTGCTTGTTGTTCTACACCGAATGTTCGTGTCCCCTGCTCCGCCATTTATGTTTGAAACCCTAATCTTCACCATGATGGTATTAGGAGTTGGGGCCTTTGGTAGGTGATTAGGTCATGAGGGTGGAGCCCTCGTAAATGGATTAATGCCCTTACAGAAGAGATCTCAGTTCTCTTGCCCCTTCTGCCATGTGAAGACAGCAAAAAGACAGATGTCTGAACCAGGGAGAGGGTTCTCACCACTTGCCAAATCTATTGGTGCCTTGATCTTAGACTTACCAACCCCTAGAACTGTGAGAAATAAGTTATGTTGTTTATAAGTCACCCAGTCTATGATACTCTAACAGCCAAAATTGACTAAGGCACTTGGTCTTTTAAGAACTGAGAGAAGTATTGAACTCTCCAACTCTTAATTCTAAATTTATCATTTTTCCCATTCTGTCAAGTTTTTCTTCAGTTTTATACAGGTATGATTGTTATAGCCTCTTGATGAATTAAAGCTCTTGTAATTATTAAATGTTCTTCTTTGTATCTGGTAATATTTGTCTTGAAGTCTAGGTATATTGTGTACATTGACATAGCTCTCTAGCTTTCTTGTAATAGTGTTTGCACGGTATCTTTACCCTTTACTTCTAACCTATTTGTGCACTTGTATACATGATGTAATTGGGGTTTGATTATCTTAATCCAATCTAACAAATGTTGTCTTTTATTGGAAGTGTTTAGTTCATTTTGTTCTTTTTCTTTTCTTGCCTCCCCTTGGATTAATTAAACATGCATCAATAATCCATTATATCTTGTCAACTGGGTTAGTAGCTCTAACTCCTTATTCTATATTTTTAGTGTTTTACAATATACATCCTTATAACAATGTGCCTTTTAATTGCTGTTTTATCACTTCACATTTAATGTAAGAACCATTGCAGTATAGTGTTATTTTCTCCTCATCCCTTTGTGCTAATGTATTCTCACATTTTATTTCTATACATTATAACCCAAAATGCATTGTTACTATTTTGATTTAAAAAATCATTTTTTTTAAAAACTAAGAAATGAGAGGAAAAATACTTGATATTTATTCATATGTTTTCTGTTTGTGGTGTTCTCCACTCCTGTGTGAAAATTTGAATTTCCATCTGGTATTGCTTTCCTTTTTTCTGAATAACTTTTAAACATTTCTTGTACAGGTCTTACAGCTATGAAGTTTGAGTTTTGTCTGTCTTGGAATTTCTTTATTTGCCATCATTTTAAAGGGTGTTTGCTCTGGATATAGAATTAAAGATTTATAATGTTTTAATTTTAGCACTTGACATTGTTCTACTGTTTTTTTGGCTGCATTATTTCTGGTGAAAAATCAGTGGAAATCATTACTATATTCTTTCCTCCTGTATGTTATGTGTCCCTACTCTGGTTACTTCTAAGATTTTTATCTTTGGTTTATCACAATTATCATTAGTCCTAATGTGTTTTTCTTTGCATATCATTGTTTGGGTTTATTATAGGGATTTTTCAATCTGTGAGTTAATATTTGTCATCAAGCTGGAAAATTTTCAGCCATTATTTCACCAAATATTTTCCCTACCCCAATCTGTCTCCTCTCCTTTCAGGACTCTAATTTCATGTATATTAGACTACTTGCTATTATCTCATGGGTGAGGCTCTATTTGTTTGATTTAGCCTTTTTATTCCAGTATTCCTTTTTTTTTTCTGTTCAGATACTTAATATTGCTTCATCTACAAGTTTATTTATCTGTACTTTTGCAGGGTTTAATCTGTTGCTTAGCCCATTCAGTGGATTTTTAAAATTTCAGACATTGTATTTTTTCAGTTTTAGAATTTCCATTGGATTCTTTTTAAAATTGATTTTATATTTTAGAACAATTTAAAAGAAAAATGATACAGAAAGTTTGGATTCTCATCTACCCCTTCTTTTCTCTCCCTTTGCATAGTTTTCCCTATTAACACCTTGCCTTAGTATAGTACAATTGCTACAATTGATGAGTCGATATTGACATATTATTACTCACTAAGTCCACAGTTTATATTAGGGTCCACTCTTTGTATAGGTCAGTGGACTTAGACAAAAGCCTAATGGTATGTATACACCATTCGGTGGTGTTCAGAATAGTTTCACGATCTTAAAATCCCTGTGTCTCACCTAACTTACTTACCCATTCCTTCCTCCCTATCTCCAAACCCCTGGCAATCACTTTTCTTTCTACTGTCCCCATAGTTTTATCTTTCCTGGAATGTCATATAATTGGAATCATATAGTATGTAGCCTTTAGGACATAGCAATATGCATTTAAGAGACCTCCATATCTTTTTTTCCCTATAATCCCTTCTATCTATCTATCTATCTATCTATCTATCTATCTATCTATCTATTTATTTATTTTTTTGTATCATTAATCTACAATTACATGAAGAACATTATGATTACTAGGCTCCCCCCTTCACCAAGTCCCCCCCACATACCCCTTCACAGTCACTGTCCATCAACATAGTAAGAAGCTGTAAAATCACTACTTCTCTTCTCTGTGTTGCACAGCCCTCCCCGTGCCCCCCCACTACACATGCTAATCGTAATGCCCCCTTTCTTTTTCCCCGACCTTATCCCTCCCTTCCCACCCATCCTCCCCAGTCTCTTTCCCTTTGGTAACTGTTAGTCCATTCTTGGGTTCTGTGATTCTGCTGCTGTTTTGTTCCTTCAGGTTTCCTTTGTTCTTATACTCCACATATGAGTGA